AAAATATTAGAAAATATTTATTTTTATTTTTATTATTTAGATTTGAGAAAATTATTTTTACTAAAAAAATAATAATTTTTTATTGAAATTATATAAAATATAAAATAATAAATCTTTCGTATATATATTTTTATTATGTTAAATTATTGTTTTAATATATATAAATAAATTAATAACTTTTTTTTATTTGATTTAGTTTAAAAAATTTATATATTTTACAAATAAAATAATTTATGTGTAATAATTAATAATAGTAATTATTTTAAATTTACAAAAATAAAAATATAATTTAATATTAAATATATTAAAAATAATTAATAAATACAGCTATAAAAATATATTTATATGTAAAAAAAAAAATTAAGTTTTAAGGGTAAATAAGGAATAATCAAAATTAAAATGAAAAATTCTTTCAAAATGCTGGGTAAATGAGGTTTTCAGAAATTAGGTTTTTAATCCAAAAACTATTTCAAAAAGCTAATTTATCAAACACCTAAATTAGTTTTTTAACTGGTCAAACAACTAAAAGTTGTTAATAAGCTAAAAGCTCTGTTTCCCAAACACCCTCTTAAGCTGAAATCATTTTATGGAAATGAGCGTCTATGGTTTAGGCTTAGATTTCTCTACTTTCAATCTCCCTTCCAGCCACTAGCATTTCTGGTCTCTCCAAGTACAGTAAGTGACCTAAAATTTGCATCACGTTTTAAGTTAAATGTTAAGGTTGTTTTACTTTGATTTTGTTGCAATCGAACTTGTTTACTTGTTTTACATGTGTATGTATATGTTTTATACGAAATTATTTTTATTGTACACACCGTCGCGGCATCGCGCGCGCCGGGTTCTAGTATAAATATATATGTCACTGTCACCGATAATATAGTGTATTTGATCATTGAAAATAAGAACGACACCGGAATAACAATATATTGCATTCGATAATTAAAAAGAAAAAACTACAATAATACATATTTATTATTATAATAATATTTTTTTAATATTATATTTATAATATAAAAATATATATTTTTTCAAAAGAATTTGATAATAATTTATTAATATATTTTAGTTTTAAAGTAATGTATTATTTTTATTAAAAAAATATAATAATATTAATAAGTATTATCATACTATATTATTTATCACGTATACAACAACAACAATAACAACAACAACAATAATAATAATTTTAACAATCCATCAAAATCTCTACTTATCATGAGAGATTTGATGTTATACAAAATTTTCATAATTTTTCATCAAAATCCAATATAAAGTTTATGATTTGTTGAATACTTCAAATTTTAAAAGATTTTTAAAAGACTTGATTGAATACCTCCAAGAATGAATACCTCCAAATTTTAAAAGACTTTTAAAAGTTGATATTGTATACACCAAAATTTTAAAAGTTCAACAAAATCTTACCAAGTCTGGATTGAATACACTCATTTAATAAGATTAAAATGACTAAATAGATTAATTAAAATAAAAAAATTATAAATTATATATTTTAAAGTGTGATTAAAATATATAATTATATTTCAAAGAAAAAAAATACAAATTATGTGAGACAGATAAAAATAAAAAAAAATAAACAAATTAAGTTATATAGAAAGAATATTTTATTATTGAACTAATTTAAGCGATTAAATTTCAACAATATTTTTCTAGATAGGAACCTCAGTATGAATTTGAAATTTATAATTTATTTTTAAATAAAGTTAGTAAGCTAGTAAGAAAAAATTAAGGCTACACTAAAAAAGAAAATAATGCATGTGGATTGAATATAAAATTTAGGAGAGAATGAATGAATAATGGAGTTCTAAAGAATATCACTATATGGTTGCTTGACAGCAGTTGCAAATCAATATCATGGAGCTGCTCAATCTTTTGGTCATATATGTTTGAAAGATTATGGTAACATTTAATTTAATATAGTTTATAACTATAATGTTCAAATTTCATATGTATTTGACAAAGATTTTATGATATTTATTTTGCATATCGACAAATTAGAATACACACAAATGAAAATAAAAATAAAGGTTAAATGAAAATTTAATTCGTGGTTTCATAAACTCTGCGTCTAATCCCATCGGCGGTCCTTATTATCGATATTTGACCTAAATGGCGAATAAATTTTAGAATGTCAATTTCTAAACCCCGAAAATTAAAAATATATTCTATTTTGTTATATTTAGTTTTTAAAAAATAGTACATATACTCCAAAATAGTTATTTTATCAGGTTTTAAGAGCTTATTTTTATTAATTTTTTTAGGCTAAATATAAGAAAAATAAATATATTTTTATTTTCGGGGTTTAGAAATTGAGATTCTAAAATTTATTCGCCATTTAGGTCAAATATCGATAATAAGGACCGCCGATGGGATTAGACGTAGAGTTTATGAAACCATAAGAGAATTTAACGCAGTTTTAGAAGTACGAAATATTTGACGCAATTTCGTGAAACAACAGGTGAATTTTGTGTAATTTAGCCAAAAATAAATAACAAAGTACCTATTAAGATGTTGCAACTTTGAAGTATAATTATTTTTAAAACATATACTTTTCATATTAAAAATAGAATACTCCATCCGTCCTATAACAAGTATCCATTTTTTCATTTTAGTCTGTCCCATAACAAAGTATCCATTTCTTTTTTTAGTAACTGTACTATCTACTTAACATTACAAATACCCTTAAAACTTACAATATAACACAAATGTCATTACATTTATATCACATATACTAATAAGGTTATTTTAGTCATTTCTACTTTATTCCTATTATATCCCAATATAATATTAATATTTTTAAAACTACGTGTGTAAAAGCAAATGAATATTTACTTACAGGAGGGAGGAAGGGAGTATAATAATTTGTAAATTTTTAATTCCAGAAAGAGCTACAAAATTAATTTAAATATAATTTTCTTTTATTTTGCTATTTTAAGAAATAATATTTGATTTAATTTGAAAATTAAAACATGATTATATGAATATTAAATTTTATTATTTTAAAATAAAATTATATGAAAAGTAATTCAATTGTTTTTTATATTTTTGTATTTTTTTTTATTTTTTATTTTTTGTCGTGGAAAGCTCAACAATATTGTTAAAATTTTTGAAACAACAAATTGTCATGGTCTTTTCTGACAATCGGTAATTAATCCTTATCAACACTACTATTGCTAAGGCTATCTCCAACCCATTAACTTCATTTATCCAATTTTAACTCCAAATATGTAGTTGCTACAGTAATTTTATTCAAATCATAACTCTATTTTTCACTATTATTCTTTAAATATTTAATTTTTCCTATTATTTTAAATAATTTTTTTATTTTTATAATTTAAAATAAAATTTTAAAATTTTTAAAAATAAAAATTTAATTTAAAAATCAAATTTATAATTTTAAAAATTAAAAAAAATAAATAAATAAAACAATGCCAAAAATTAGCGTTGCTACAGTACAACACCAACCCAGCGCCACTATTGGCGCTGAGTTGGAGATGGCCTAACAAGATGGAATCAGTTCCATGATCTTTCTGCAACAATTTTCTAGAAGTGAGCTTTTTGAAAAATTTGGTAATAATAAAAAGTTTATCTAGGATTGTTCCTCGCGATAATTTTTACATAGAACGAAATTCTTTGTCAAACCTAATCTAAACTCTAGTCTAAATTATAGTGACAGTCTAATGCTTTGTCTAGTTACTAGCCTCTACGGAGAGCCTGCAGAATGATGACACATGAGGTAAGATAGGTGGGGGAGGTTTCGGCTGGTGGTGTACTTTTTAAAAAATAAAATAAAATATTATTTTTAGTTATTACTCATAATATTCTATAATATTTAAATTTCAATTAATTTAAAAAATTATATCAATACATCGGTTTTTCAAATAAAATAATATTTTTATTAACTTAATCATTACAAAATTTAAACTTCAAAACAAACACACAACTTAAAAATTTTTACTTTAAAATCTTTATAAATTCAAATTCAAAATTCAATCCTCCAAACAAACACACCCATTTAATATGAAATTTAGCGAGAGAAAAAATAAATATGTAATTCGATTTATTTTAAAAAGAAATTATTGTATAGATGAAAATTGCCAATTTTTTTTTAAAAAGATACGTTAAGCCAAATCCAGGTCATTTGCGTAGCTCTCTTCAATCAAACTGGTTGGGGAGTTTGTCGAAATTTGAAATTTTACTAATCACTATTTTTTTTAAAAAAAAAAATTATTAAATTAAATATTTATGTTTTATTTTTTATATTTTATTAAAAATTAACTTTATATTCAAAATATTCCCTCCATTTCGGTGCAAAATTGACATTTACTTTTTGCATGTAAATTTTTTAATATTAGTATTATAATGAATTGTAGTGAAAAAGACACCTATTAGTATTGTGTAATATAAAAGTAATGGTATTTGTGTAATATAGTGTAAGTTGGAAGGGTATTTATTATGTTAGGTAAGTAGTACAATGACTAAATTAGGAAATGATAACCTTATTTTGGGACGGATAAAAATAAAAAATGACAACCTTTCAATGGGACAGAGTGAGTATCACATAACACTTATTCATATCACGTCGTACAAGTATACTCCCTCCGTCCCGGAACTAAATATCCATTTCCTTTTTGCACGTAATTTTAGAAATATTAGTATTATATTGAGATATAGTAGGAATAGAGTAGAAATGACTAAAATAACCTTATTAGTATGTGTGATATAAATGTAATGACATTTATTTAATATATTGTAAGTTGTAAGGGTATTTGTTATAATGTTAGGTAGATAGTACAGTTACTAAAAAAAAATGAATATTTTGTTATGGGACGTACTAAAATGAAAAAATTGATACTTTGTTGTGGAACATATGGAGTTTTAATTTAAAATTTTTACTATTAAAATTCAAACCCAAAACCAAACCCCCCTAACCAAAGACACCCTTAAATCTCTCTCTCTCTCTCTCTATATATATATATATATATATAGATCTATATATCTGTGTGAGATGCGAAGGAAGACAGAGAAACAGCAAAGAAGAGCTGTAAATTTGGTAGAAAGAAAATAATTAAGCAGCCATGAATGGAAGTAGAAATAATAACCGTAATGGTGTGCCGATTGAAGAAGAAGAAGGAGAAAAGAGATTATACACAGAAGATGGGACTGTGGATCTCAGAGGCAAACCTGTTCTTCGATCCAACACTGGTCGATGGAAGGCTTGTTCTTTCATCGTCGGTATGTATACATATGATATGGATTCTAATTTATTTCTTTTTCTTTTTTTCACAATTTTTAAAATTTTTATTATAGTTTTTTTTGGCAAAATTGTCCATAACTCTCATGTGGTTTCGAAACTCTACATTAAAAATGGCATGGTTCTCCCTAATTATACTTTAAAAAATATTACATAAAACCACTTTGTGGTTTCGAAACTCAGCATAAATCTCCATTTTACTTTAAAAAATTGCATGACGCTCACTTATACTTTCAAAAATATTGCATAAAACTCCCCTGCCATGCAAAACATATAGATAGGAAATCATCTTGTTATCACATGAGGAAAGTTTCATGGTTGTGGAGTTTCATGCAACGTTTTTTAAAATATAAGGAGTTCCATGCAATTTTTAAAGAAGAGGGGGAATTTACGTTGAGTTTCGAAACCACAAGGGAGTTATGGACAATTTTGTCTAATTTTTTAAAATAAACTTATTATAGTAAGATTAATGGCGTGGTTATAAAAAAACAAAAAAACCAAAAAAAAAATAAAAAATAAAAAAGGAACAAAACAGAAGAAGTTTTAGCTTTCTTCACACATTAATTTTTTTAATAATATAAACTTTTATAAATATTATCAGAAAATACAATATATATCATTTATATTTTATTTACTCTAAAATTAACAATTTAACATAATATATATATAAATATTTTTACAATACAATTCATGGTATCTAACATACAAAATACATTTATTTTAAATATATATACTTATACAACACAAAATAAAAAATGGTATGTTTATTTGTATTTGGTTTTTGGGTTCTAAGACCACGAGCATTGGGAGGTTTGTCTCTTTTGTAATTTTTATTATGTATTTTTTCAAAAAAAATTAATATATTATATATAATTATTAATTTTATATTATTTATATGATTTCTATATTTTACATAAAAATTATTCTTTTAAATTAAAACACAAAATAAAACACATCGGGAGATCTCTACTATATCCCAAAGTTAGCAAAAATATGATAAATAATTGAATGAGTTTTTTTGAGTTTGTGTGCACAAAATTGTTTCCACTCCCTCAAAAAATTTCTTTATATATGTATATATAATAATAATATTTAATTAATTAATAAAAATCTAAAAAATAATTTTTATTATTTTTATTTTATATATAAATTAATTATACGTATAATAGCATATTTATAATTTATGTAAAAAATAAAAATATTTTAGTATTAATATATAAGTACTTATAAAAGATAATAAAAATAGAGAAATATTTTTTATATTTTTATATCATATAATATTTTATTTTCTATTAAATGACATTTATTGATATTTTTTATTTTGCGTTTAGTTTTTAAAAATAAATAATTTTGATTTAAATATGACTATATGTATTATTTGTTCTTGTTGAGTTTGTCTAATGTATTATGATTTTTTTTATTTGAGTTGAAGTCATTTGTCTGATTTTAAGCAAAAGTGGGATACACTTTTCTATGAAGTTTGAATTTTAAATTTAAATACATTTTTACTATAATATTTTATAAACATAATATATATATTTATTAAAAATTATTATATAGTAAAATAAATGAAAAATATTGCAAAGAGAACAATCCCCCCCATTTTAATTTTCTTGATTTACTTCGATCCATGAACATTTAGGGTTGGCACAGGTGAATTTTGTTTTAAATTTTGTAATATAATTTTAATAAACCTAAAAACTATTACTAGTTTGGATTTATTTATTTTAAATAAAAGAGCTCGAAATGTTTAGAATATTAGGATACTAACAATAATATTGTGCTTAGTGCCCAACTACTGAATATGGGACATGGGACCATGCTTGATTCTCTTCACAAAAATTCTACTAACTTTTAATATTCAAATTTTTTAAAAAAAATAAAAATAATTTTTAAATACAACTTATAAAATATTATTTTCAGAAAAGATAAATACATGCTAGAAGTAATTTAAGTAAGTATATAACAAAGAGGATATTATTTGGTAATTTGGCAATAGATTTATGTTTCGATTTTCATTGAAGCAGCTTATGACTTTCTTTTGGTTTTAATTTCGATTTGAATCTTAAATTCTTTATTAAACAATTTATTTCTTCATCAAGAATCCCATTATTGATCGAATCGGCAAGCTATAAGTAATGCAACTGTGAATCTCATGGAGAATTCGATCCACCGAGCCGGATCCGGTGTATCATAAGGGATTTTTTTTTTTTTTTTCTTCTTTATGTAATACATAATCATATGTTAAAACTTCTTACATTTTTTATACGCATAATTTATAACAATACAATGATATATATGTATATATTTTATAAATTTAAAATTATGTAATAATATTGTGCTTAGTGCCCAACTACGGAATATGGGGAAATGGGGCCATGCTTAATTGCCTTCACAAAAATTCTATCACTTCAATTAATATTCTTTTTAAAAAATAAATAAATAACTAAAATGATATATATATATATTTATAAATTCTAAAATTATACAACTTTTAATATATATGAAGATTTGATTGAGATATGTGTTTGATTGTGATTTTAATTTGAATCATCATTATTCATTCGACAAGTTTTTAATAAAAATATTTTATTTTTTCACAAAATATCACGTCAAAATATTAATTAAATAAAAACTTAAATTAAAATTTCAATAAATTACAAACTAAAATCAAACAAACCAAATTTTCTTAAAGTATAAGTTAAACATATATATATATATATATTCAGTTATAATTTAAATTTCAAACATGTGCTCATGCATGTCCTACTACCTTTATTTTAGTGGGTTTCTAGGTCTAACATTCAATCATGGTTACTTTTCTTAGGTCAACATTCAATCATAGTTATTCGCAATCAAATTATAGTAAATCATTTGTTGTTGTACCCAAATTTTACAATAATTATATTTCATTCATGGTTAATCAAACTATAGTAATTAATTTAATTTGTTATTGTAGCCAATTAACGGTTATCATAATTTCAATCCCAATATATACTTTATTGAAATTTAGATGAAAAACTTGTTATTAAAATCGAACAAAAAAGATTGACTAAATATTGACTTATATGGAATCGAACCAAAGAAGAAAACACAAAAAAAAATACAAATATTTTAGGTTCAGCCCCTGAAACACCCTTATAGTTAGAAAGGGACGTTGGTGTAGTCTAATAGTCAAGAACGGTCCCAAAATTCACTTAATCGAACAGATCTTAACTGAATCGATCGATCACTCACTATCGCAATAATATATCACGAATCTACGTTAATTTCTCACCTTTCATACTAATAAGTCTTGCATATTACAATCTTTATAAGAATCACACATGGAATTCCTATCGAGCTACCCACTTTAACGAATAGATAAAGAAGACGAATTGCAAGAGAGAGCGCCATATAGAGAGAGAAGAGTCTGGAATGATTGAGTAGCAATAAAAGGCCTTTACGTTTGATAAATCAACAAGTTTTTCTAATCACATAGTTTAATAGAATTTGCCTTAAAAAATCACGGAAAGTGATCTATTTATGATATAAGTTATTGTAGTAACAATTTCTCTCTAAAACTTTTTGATAAATCTAGGGAAGCTAACATGTTTATGACTTTATCAAGAAGAGTTCAATTCATCCTTTCAGTCATCTCATTTTATTGGGATTAATACGAGATTGTTTTATGCCTAGTTATGTCACATTCAATACACAAAGAATTTATCAATTAGTACAAAATTCTAGTTCATTATCGGTCTTAAGTATTTGATTTTACGCCCACTTTGGTTTTCTATTTAAATTTTCTAATTTTAAGAACATGAAATACATCATATTTTTTTTATTAAAATAATCCATTTTTTTTAAAAAGTATTAATCGTAGAAAAAAAATATCTATTTCCACCGCATGTAAGTTCACTAGAAGGATCCCACATATCCGCATACATATATTCAAGAATTCTAGAAGATTTAAGCACATTAAGGGATGAAAAATTTCGAAGTTGGATTCTATGTTGTTTACCAAACACACAATCATCACAAAAAAAGTAGACACAGACAACTTTTAATAAAAGTAGAGTGAGCTGACCTTCAATTTAAGACAGCCTATATTTTAAAATTTTAACCTACTATTATAAAATATATTAAATTCTATTTTTTCTTTTATCATTTTTTTTATAATTATCCAATTCAATTTTAATTTTAAAATTAAAATTTAAATCAGATATTTTATCAATATGTGTATCTCTTCTTTCTAACCACACCTATGTATGGTCTCAAATCACAAATCATATCGTTGCTTACCACCCAGACCAAACCTGCCTCGCCTCGCCCCCTTTTTTTCCCTCCTCAAATTCCTTTCGCTTTTTGAATCTCCGGTCACTACCGTGAAGCATCTCCGGTTTCCGCATTCCATCTTTTAGCCGACGCTGGTGTCTGTCCACCATCTCTGGTGATATTATTTTAAAAATACATTTATTGTATATTTATAGAGTCTACAATTTAATTTTTTACTCAGAGCCCTTAAAAAGTTCGAGACAGTCCTGAGCATGGATAATACTTTATCTTTACCAAAACAACAACTTTTGCTTAAGATTTCCAAACCTTTGTTACTAACACGACCTAGTCATTTATGCACAAGATTGTTTTATTATTACACATGGAATTAGAAACACTTTTAACATATATAAGTGACTTCACTTTGGTAATATATAAGCTACTTTTCCTTTAAGCCGTAAACACAATTATAGAGTTTTTATAAATTTTTATTACACCATTACCCTAATTTTCCTCAAGTCTTATTTCTTCTAAACCAACACAAGAGAACAAATTATTACACAAATCACGCACATGTCTCACATTGTTCAAAGTTAACACAAAACTTGAACTAAATGTCAATTTAACAGTATTTATGTCTTCAATTTTGCAAACTCTATCATTTGGCATACAAACATTATTATTTTTTAATATTTTATAATATGAAAGTGTCATATATAGATACATGCTGTGTCAATTAGCCAATCATTTTTACAAACAATGTTCAAATGAGAACATTTAAATATTACCATAAAAATATCACTAAAAATTAATTTTCTTAGGTAAAATTTACATGTTCTAGGGACTGCCTTTTATTATTATTGTTATCACTTAAAATTGACTTATTTTAAAATTATTTTACATAATGACCATTTTAATTGCATGCAAAACACGTTCTGTCTTAGTTTCTAAACTTAGATCTACACCTTATTCTATTTTTTTATTATTATTATTTTTTCTTTTATTATTTTGAAAGTTGCTATTTTAACTTGATTTGCATTGTTTTTTTTACGGGGTGATTGACCCTTAGTATACATAAACTTATCCGAAAACTTATGAGATTTATTAATAGCTAAGTCTAATTTTTTACTTTGTAGACTATTCCTAACAATATTCAATGTTATATTATCTCTTCAATACCTAATTGCATATTTCATATCAAAATAATTGTTAGAGATGATATTTAGTAGAATAAGTAGACTATATACGTCTATAGTAGTATCACTGGTGAGTTTTATGTCTTGAATAAGCTTTTTAAAAATATCCAAATTTTATACAAATCAAGTTTAAAACTGAAATATTTTTCAAGTAAATACAATTTATTTGACAAAGAAGTTTCAGTATATAATTCTTCTAACTTATTCCATAACTCGTTTATAGCTTTGATCTCACCAACTTTTGTAACGATTGAATCAGACAAATTAAGAATTATGTACACCAACCATCAAATCGTGACTATATATAACAACAAGAATATCATGATTTGACCATTCCAATTGTTTATTACTTTCCCGAATAACAAACTATATCGATGTAACAGTAATTTGATTAGGGTGAGGCATGAATGTAATAATAATATTAACACATGAAAAATTGATTTCTTTCACTGCCTAATTTTTATCATTTACTTTAATATTTTCATTCAAAAATACCATATTTACCATAAATTTTATTTCAAATATTACCTCCAACAAATGTTTCTAACTAAAAAATGTTAAAACAAATAAAAGCACAAAAAATGCGAATAAAATTTAAACAATTGTTTCACCCTCTAAAATACGTGTAAGGGTATTAGGTTTGGCTGGGAGTTTACACAGTGCGCACTTTCGGGTAGCAGCCGTGGGTTCCCACGACATCACAAAAAAAAAAAAAAACGTGTAAGGGGATAGTTTAAAATTCGATAAATCAATATTTAAAGTTTCATTTAGCAGTTGTTAAAACACCTTAAGCACATTATTTATTGAATGATTGAGTTCTTTTGTAAGAAATAATTAAGCATTGTTTGGAACAATAAACTCAGTGTATGAAGTGTTCGAACGAATGGCGTACTTTGGAATATCGAGCAATTTATTCATATACTTGACGACGAAGCTACGCCAGGGCACAGTCAGATCAGCCAATAATGTCACCAATTGGCTCGGTACCAATTGGATCACTCCCATCTTGGGTGCATACGTTGGCGATGCACTTTTGGGTCGTTATTGGACTTTTTTGATTGCCACCGCTATCTACTTTTCGGTACGCAATTTATTTATTTATTTTTTGAATAAGAAGATTCTTGAATTATGACTTTACAAAAATAAAATAAAATAAAATCAATACATAGGTAGCATTGACAATCAAGCTAACCATATTCTACATCTTAGTTGAAATAAAGATCTTTTATGTTTTATTATTGGCTTCAAAGGTTGTTCTTTTGTATTGTTTTCCAATATTTATTACACCTTCCGCCATTGAAATATATGTCACAAAATTTAATAAAATTAATAAATGCTATTTTATCTTTTATAGTAAAATTTTTTTAAAAATAGTATAAGTTATTATTAAAATCAGAATATGAGAATATTGTTTTTTTGATAATTCAGAATAAATATGAGTATAAATTTAGATGACGCGAGAATATTATTTAAAATTCGTGTTTTGCTTAGATGTGTTTTAGAAGTAATGATATGGTATTTGAGAGAGTTTTTAGGATGATAAAAGGTTGAACAAAATCTAAGTATTTAATGTCATATAAATATATGTTATATCTGATGTTTTCTATAGAAAATGGATTTTTTTTTAATATATTTTTTTAAAAGAAAATTATGTATTTAATATAATAATCTTTTAAAAGAAAAAAAAAATTTCCATCCCGAACCAATAGATTCATTTTTTTTTTTACAATAGATTTAAAAATAATAATATTTTATTGGTGTGTAAAAATGATCAAGATTATTTTAATATTTTTTTCTTTTAAAAGTATAAATGAAATATTTTTTTTTTAAAAAAAAAGAAAGTTAGAGGCTTTTTTGGGTATGTAGAAATGATTATTTTTAGTATAAATAGAAATAAATACTTTTGATTGAAACAATTGAATATATATTGTTAATAAATAATGATATATTTTAAAAAGAAAAAAGATAAATGAAAACATACGCTAACAAAGCCATTAAATTAATACTAAACTGCAAATTGAATCCTGAATATATATATTACATATATAACGAGATATGTAATAATATATTTATACAATTCTCTCTGTCCCACGTAATATATTTTGTACATTATATAAATGAGGAGTGACATAATTAGTAAATAATTTAAAAAATATATTAGTAAAAGTAATTATAATATATAAGTAATTATACATTAAAATATTTAAAATATAATTAAATTTTGTAATTTTTCTCTCTAAAAAAAATGAGATAGAAAAAATATGAGATGAACTAAAATGATAACATAAATAAAAGATTTGGGACATGAAAGTATATATTAAAATAGAATAGATCGGTCTGATAGAATCATTATTGAATTATACTGAATAACTTAATATAATACGTTAATTTTTACCCTTCAATTTTATAATTAATATAATTAAAAATAATTGTAATTTAAGACATTTAGCATCAGGTGCTAAATTTAAATTCAATACTTGTTCCATGCTGATACTAAAATTTAGACAAAGATATTTCATATGTGATGCCATAGCAATTTTGTGCCAACTACTATTAACTTATTGATGTTCCACAAAATTTGAGTTTGGATTTGGGATTCAAAAATAGTGAATACTTATTGCATAAAACACTTATATACTCTTTTCGTCCCAAACACCCAGCAACATTTTCAAAATAGGAAATAATTAATTATATTTAATTTTTACCCCACACTTTATCATATCGCATCATCCAAATAAAAAAACTAAAATATATATTTCTCTCTCCATCACATCACCTAATTTCTAAATTATCTTACTTAATACTACCCATCTAAAAACACGTGTCAAAAATAAATGTTGCACCTTGTTTGGGACGGAGGGAGTATTATTTATGGCATAAAATTTTCATATATTAGCATAAAGTTTGCATAAAATACTAATTTAATCCAAAAACAACAACGACTAAGAGTCATGTGTCTCTTATCGGAGCGCCCTTTGTAGACATACATGAGTCTAAATTTTTATTAGACATAATTAAAGTAACAAACCGTCAACATTATGTGTATATATATTATTTTTATTATTAACAAATCATAGTTATATTAAAAATGTCACGGTGTTTAATTCTATATAATATAATTAACATCATCCGAAGTAGGCATGTGACTTTTAGAAAATTATATATATAAAGAAATAAAAAGAAGGAATCACAAAATTTCTTCAAAAAGATTAGGAAAATTAGCTCTCGACATTATTTATTTTATTTTTTATCAATAAAAAAGTTTTTTATTTTTTAAATATTTTACAATGCTTATTACTCCCTCGATCCCAAAAGTATAGTCTTAGTGTGTTGGACACAAGATTTAAGGAATATTGATATTATATTGGTAGTTGGTAAAAAGTAAAAATAAATGACTTTTTTGCCCTTGTGAGTATATTAGTGTAAAAAGTAGTGACAATTGTGTAATAATAATAAAAAAGTATAAATATTTTTATAGTGATATGATTACTTATGAAAATGAAACTATTATTTTGAGACAGACAAAAATAATAAACAAGACTATTACTATTTAATGTAATGTCATGCATATAAATAGGTGTGTGATTTTGAATAAATAAATAAAAAGGTTAAATAATAATCTTTTTATTTTAATTTTAAAAATATTTTTTTATTAAATTTAATATATACTCCATCTTTCAAGGTTCTTATGCCACTTTGTGTAGATATAGAGATTAAAAAATAATAGTCGCTATGTCTGACAAATTTATTTTTATTTTTCTTTTTCGTCAAGTCCGTTAAATTAATCCAATTACTATATTTGAAAAAGTACAAAAAAATTAATATTTAATTATTATACTTTATCCAACATTTATTTACAAGAAATATCTCTTATTATTAACTAAATTTTCAAAAATATTCTAAACTATCATTTTATTTTATTAGTTTATATTTTCAATAAAATATTCATTTTTCTTAATATTCACGCTAATTTCAAATAAGTTAATTTTTTGTCAACGAAGAGAATATTATTTTAATATAAAAATTGGATAAATAAAAGGTAAAGTAAAAATATTATGAAACTTTTATTAAGAAAATGATAAAAAAATAATAGAGTAAATCGAAAAAATAGTAGCAAGTTAGTTATCATTTGTTAAAAGTATAAATAATAAAACTATGAGTAAATAAGCTATTCATTACGAATAGACTATACATTAGTTTAGCGGACAATTAGAAAAAAACTAATGGAGGTAAATATTATTTTAATATTATATATTTTATAATATGTATATTATTTTTTTATGAAATTTTTGGGTCATGCACCACAAAGACATTGATTTTTTAGTAAAATGTAAGAATATATTATTCATTAATCAATATTATATTGAGAATATATAAAAATATAGATTGTGTGTCAATTTAGATATTGATTTTTTTGTAAAATGTAAGAATATATTATTCATTAATAAATATTATACTGAGAATATATAAAAATATAGATTGTGTGTCAATTTAGCATGTATTGTGTTGATTTTTACAACGTGCTATTAATTTGTATTTTAAAAAGTATGTTATTTTTTATTTACATTACATGTTGAATTCAATTATAATATTGTTGTATGAACTATTGTCATATGATGTCAATTCATATGTTGCATTTGTATTAAATTAACCTATATCACATATTGTCGATTTATGCTTCATATGCTGCGAGATTATATTTCTTATATTATAAACACTGAAAATCTGATAATTGGTTTTCTCATTATAAAAATAGGGAATGTCCCTTCTAACCCTTTCAGTATCAATCCACCCGTTGAAACCAAGTTCATGTCCAGACCCAAATGGTGTTCATTGCCAGAAGCCAACTACATTACAAATAGTTGTATTCTTTGTTGCCCTATACATCATAGCACTCGGAAATGGTGGAACGAAGCCCAATATTTCGACCATTGGCGCGGATCAATTCGACGAGTTCGACCCTAAAGAAAAAATCCAAAAACTTTCCTTCTTCAATTGGTGGGCGTTTAGCATACTCTTTGGTGCATTATTTGCCACTACTGTGCTTATCTATATTCAGGATAACGTGGGATGGGCGCTTGGGTATGGAATCCCAACCATTGGACTAGCAATATCGATATTGATATTTTTGGCTGGGACACCCTTCTATCGGCACAAGGTGCCGATGGGAAGCTCGTTGACGACAATAATTAAGGTCATTGTGGCTTCGATTAGCAAGTGGAAGGTGGAGATTCCGACGGATGCCAAAGAACTCTATGAGCTTGATCCTATAGAGTACGGTGAAGGAAAGCACATGATTGATTCTACAAATAGCATGAGGTTGGTGTTTACTTTCAAAATGAATTTGATTTATTGTGTTATCGAATAAATAATATTGCTCATTTAAATTTGAAATTCAAATAAAAAATATCTAATTAATATTTTTTATTTAAAAAAAATTATAATTCCATATGTCCTATGAATTCCCATCATTTTATCTATATATGTATATTTTTTCATGTAGGTTTTTGGGAATTTTTCAATCGTAAAAATATATATCTTGAAATTCATTTTTGCTAGATTTACATTGAGCGGTGAGATAATCCATCTAATGAGCTTTAAAAATTATTTTATATTGTTCTATGGAAGAAATTAGTTATCATATCATAGCGTATCATATGCGACTTTATTTAGTTCGAATAATCATTTGACCCAGGTTACATATACATTTTTAAAAGTTTTGGCTGGAGTTATTCTAGTAATAAAATTTAAAAATATCATATCAAAATGCTCAATTTTTTTACTAGTTTTAACTTTTTGTTTTATTTTTTATTTTTCTAAAACTTCAAAATTCTTATCTAAACAAACTATATACGTAGGTTCCTCAACAAAGCATGTGTAAGAACAAGCTCTAGCAAGCCATGGCTACTTTCCTCAGTCACACAAGTAGAAGAAACCAAGCAGATACTCCGAATGATCCCGATCCTCATCGTCACCTTCATCCCGAGCACGATGGTCGCACAAATCGGGACACTTTTCATCAAACAAGGCACCACTCTAAACCGCCACATCGGCGCCTTCAAGATCCCTCCGGCTAGCTTAGGCCTATTCGTCACAATCTCGATGCTCGTATCTCTCGTGGTGTATGACCGTGTCTTCGTAAAAATCATAAGGAAAAGGACGAGAAACCCTAGAGGTATTACTCTCCTCCAACGAATGGGGATCGGTATGATCCTCCACATCATCATCATGGTTATCGCTTCCCTAACCGAACGATATAGAATCCATGTTGCCCGGAAAAATGGCCTAGTCGAGAATGGGGGCCAAGTCCCTTTATCTGTATTCATTATATTGCCTCAATTCATACTCATGGGCGTTGCGGATGCATTCTTGGAGGTGGCGAAGCTCGAGTTCTTCTACGACCAAGCGCCCGAGAGCATGAAGAGTTTAGGGGCATCGTATTCTTTGACAAGTCTTGGAGCCGGGAACTTCATAAGCAGCCTGTTTCTGACCATTGTCTCGAATGTCACAAGTGGGAACGGGCACGAGGGATGGATTCGGAACAACCTGAACGCCTCGCATTTGGATTACTATTACGCCTTCTTTGCCATCTTGAACTGCATTAATTTTGTCTTGTTTCTTGTTGTGGTGAGATTTTATGTCTATAGAGCCGAAGTTTCGGATTCCATGAAAGTGCTTGCGGAAGAGCTGACGGTTCGAAAAACAGAAGGCGGGCAATGAGGAAATTATCTCAAACTAGAGGAAATTTGATGTTATTCGAACTAAAACTTTTTTCTGTTAAGTAAAGATCTATGAAGGATGTTCGTGTCCATTTTTTTTTTTTTGAAGTATCGAATGGCTTGTTTCAATTTCATCGAAGTAATGAACGTCATTACACTTGGAAAAAAAATCTAATCTCAACTTGAACTGAAATGATATAATGCAAAGAGCAAGGATGGTTTTCCTGTGCTTTCCTTTTTTTTTTTTTTTCTATTTAATTTATATTTTTCGAAAAAATCAAATGAGCAGATGTAAGAACAACCTAATTCTAATAAAGTTTTGGATAAACTATAATTAAAAGGTAGAAGTGCTTCTAATCTATTTATACTTTAAAAAATTTGCATCATATTCATAGTGATTTAAAAATTGTACTCCGCTTCTAAGAGTTAGTCATTGTATTTAAAAATAAAAATATCCTTATATCTGTATAATTTTTTATAATATAATTATATTAGTATTATAAGAAACTAACATAAGTATTTTTATTATTTTTCTTTATTTGTCCTATATTTTGATATAATAATTAATATTTAAAACAAATAAAATAGTAAATGTGATCTTAAAGCTTAGATTAGGTTATTTTTTAAAACATTAGACATTATTTATAGTTTAAAAAATCTGCACGATATTCACCATAACATTAGACAAGACCGTATTAGAAATATTATATAGAATTTCGTAAAAATGGTATAAGATTTGTTGAAAAATAAAAATAAATAAATAAATAATATAGACTTTAATCATAAAAAATTTTATTTTGAACTTTTAATAAACTAATTTAGTGTATACAGTTAAAGAAGATATAATATATACAAAATATCACATCTACCTGCTTTCTAGCCTAATGGGTGCCTAGAATTTGATGGCATTTTTTGTATGTACAAAACATCACATTCAAACAATTTCAATACAATTTTCTTGCCATTATTCTGTGATTGTAAAATATACAATACAAATTCACCAACGAAATGCAATAACCTTACAGCATCTTGAATCCCGTAGCTCTCCTTTTCGTCAAATTACTAGAAAAAAGTCATATTGTTGCGGTTGAAATTGTTGCAGAATCTATCTATTTCGACAATATTTCAAAATTATTGCGGAATTGCCAGATCATTTCCAACACGTTTATGCCAATTTCTAGATATATATATATACAGTGTTACTCTATACCCCAACTCTATTTTTGGAGTGAAGTTTTTGTGGTGTTTTTTATATTTTTGATATTTTTTGGGTGTATTGTATAATTTTAATTCTTTTAGTAGATGATATATAATTTTATATTTTAAAAAGTTGTATGTGTTGAAAGGTGACTTGGATTTAGCGGTCTACCCGACCCAAAACTATGATTTCAATTGACAGAGTTCCTTTTGGGCTTATCCTAATTAATAAGAAATAGGCTTAGGGTATTTTGGGGTACTTATAAATAGATAACTATGGTTTTTAGTCGGACTACATAATTGTAAATCTCTGAATCAGTATAATAAAATCTCTCCGGTTCCTGCCCGTGGACGTAGGTTGACATACCGTCACCGAACCACGTACAACTTCTGTATTCTTTATTTGCTTTCTTTCTCGTTTTCTGATAATAATATGTAATTTTACTTTTGTTTTTGACAAATAATGTATAATTTTATATTTAAAATTGATATATAACTTTACTATTTTAAAAGTGATATAATTTTTATTTTTTTAAAAATAATGTTTAATTTAATTTTTTAAAAGTGATATGTAATTTTATTTTTTAAAAGTGATGTATAATTTTATTTTTTTGAAAGTGATATATAATTTTATTTTTTAAATTAACGCGTAATTTTTCTTTGTAAAAAATTATGTTTAATTTTTTATTTTAAGATTAATTATTTTATATAGTTTCCACAAAAAAATCTATAATATGTATGTATAATTATTAAAAATTGATACGTGTGTATTTAAATTTAAATTTATTTAAACTGAAAATAATATATGTTATAAAATTATTTAACAAATAAAATTAAAATACAAAAATATGTTGCATAGGATGCAAATTAAATAAAATATTACATTGATAGAATTCAAATTACATAAAACAAATTGCATAAAAAAAACAAATTATATTGGTAAAATACAATTACATAAAATATTGAAATACACTGATCTAATACGGAGGAATATCTTCCTTTCCATCACTACCAATATCACTGAAATATTGAAAAAACATATTCGAAGAAGACTCTGGATTTGATCCCTGAAATTCTATTGTTCTTTTACGTAAAATTTATCTTTCTTGAGCCAGTAATAAGCACGCTAAGCAAAATCAGAAATAATACTAAGTCCATATTCATAATTTTTTCCTCGCATGTCATTCTCTTCAATGCTAATTTCTCTCGTTCCAGTTGCAAAAATTTTTGTCCGTGCAAATTTGATATTTGTAGTATTTTCATAACCATTGAATTTTGGATATCTATTATTATATATTATAAATTTTAAAAATTCTTGTATGTGCAAAAATTCAATTATTATATATTATAAATTATTAAAATTCATTTATCCATGTCAAAGCAATCATGAGCATTTGTTTGGATTCCATCTTCTCCAGTCAATTATTATATATTATAAATTATAAAAATCTGCTCATCCATATCCGAGCAATCATGATCGTTCGTTTGGATTTCATCTTCATTTCATCCGTTGGATGGATATCTATATTATCCAAATAATTCTCATATTTAATTTTTATCTAAAATTTCCATTCTATAAATTATTGGGCATTCAACGAAGGTTTATTCATCAAACTTATATTCACTTATCAAAATAATATTATTTCTTTAGTATGAGTAACTCTTCATTGTAAGATGATAAAGAAGTGAGTAGAATTTTCATGGAGTCCTTTCAAGAGGATGAAGCAGCAATCTCCATATTGATGCAAAATAATGCTTATTTGGAACAGTTAGTCAATCTCTCTCAATCAACCCATCGAGACTCTATCCCAGGTCATCGAGTAATTAATCGTGATCATGAAAGTTCAGATCGTAATTTATATAATGATTATTTTTCAAATAATCATTTATATAATGAACAAATGTTTCGTCGAAGATTTCAAATGTCTCGAAGTCTGTTTCTTCGTATTGTTGATGCAGTTAAAGATCATGATCCTTATTTTCAACAACGGAGAGATGGTCTTGGTAGACTTGGCTTGTCAACCTTACAAAAGGTAACTGTTGTTTTTCAGGTGTTAGCATATGGTGTATCTGCAGATTCAATAAATGAGTACATTAAAATTGGTGAATCAACAACAATTGAAAGTGTTAAGAGATTTTTTCGTGCCGTTGTTGAAAATTTTTCAACTGAATATCTTCGACATCCTAATGCTAATGATATTGCAAGGTTGCTTCATATTGGAGAATCTCGTGGTTTTCCAGGTATGTTGGACAGTTTAGATTGTATGCATTGGAAATTGAGAAATTGTCCTACGGCTTTCACAGGTCAATATGCAGGTCGTAGTGGATCACCAACTATTATTCTCGAAGTTGTGGCTGATTATGATATTTGGATTTGGCATGCATATTTTGGTATGTCAGGTGCCAATAATGACATTAATGTTTTAGAATCCTAGCACTTGTTTTCAAATCTTGATCTAGGTATTGCTCATCCCACACATTATACCCTTCAAGGGAAAGAATACAATATGGGGTATTATCTAACTGATGGTATTTACCCTAAGTGGGCTACTCTTGTGCAAACTATTCGTGATCCACGATGTAAAAAAAAAAAAAAAAACTTTTTGCACAGAAACAAGAGTTCTTGTAGAAAAGATGTTGAGCGTGCTTTCGGAGTTCTACAATCACGTTGGCATATAATTGCTGGAGCTGTTTGATTTTGGTAAAAAAAATATTCTGCATGATATTATCACTGCTTGCATTATTATGCATCATATCATATGATAATAGAAGATGAACGAGATCTCAGTGTACCTATTAGAGAAGTTTTAGAAACACCACCCCCATCAGTGGAAATGGCAACAAATGAAACCATCCAACTTCAACAATTTCTTGCATGACATAGACAAATTAGAGACAAAGATGCTCATTTTGCACTCCGTAATTATTTAATAGAGCATATATGAGAGCAATATAGTAACTCCACTGAATAAGTATGTCGTATTTTATTTGAACTATTATTGTAATGTATGTTTTTGTAATAAATTGTTATGAAATAATAATATTACGTTATCTTTTTTTAATTATTATATCATATTTGTCTTGATAGCATTTAATTATTTATTTAAAATTATTTTATTTGTAATAGTAATTAATTATAAATGTTAATTTTCATATATGTAATTTTTAAATAAAATATAAATTATATGTGTATGGATCTAATGTATACATAAATTAAAATTGGGGTGTAATTTATAAATATGAAAAGTTATATAAAATAATATAAAAAAGGAATATATAGGAAATATACTTTTTAGAGTAAAAATTGAAGTTTATGGTTGGAGTAAAATGAGTAAAATTACTGTAGATCAACTGCATTTTTACTGTAGCATCTGCAAAAATAGAGTTGAGGGTTGGAGATGGCCTCACGGATGTAGTTCTGCACCGAACTTTTCGTGTGAATTACGATTGTCCAGAAAACTACAATGAATTGTTACAGAAAGTAATTTTTACTTGTCCCGGATTTTTGCAACAATACATATTCATTGTCTCGATTTTTTGCAACAAAATAATTTTTACTTGTCGCAGATTTTTGCAACAATATAAATATTCATTGTCACGGCATTTTACAACAATGAAATAGTAATTGTTGAAATGTTTTCACAACTTTCCGCAACGATGTAACTATTAATTGTCGCAACCTATTCACATCTTTATGTAGCAATGTAATTGTAACGATTTTTTTTACAATTATTAAGAATTATTTTTTGCGCTTTTATGGTATAGAAATATAAAATATTTTAGAGCAATCAAATGAAAAATAATATAATCAAATTATTATTGTTGTCAATCCTAAAATACATTTTTTAAAAAATTAAAATAATACAAAATCTTAATAATATTGCGTCGGTGGAATTGTTTCATCATCGTTTTAGAAAATAAATATCTAATCAAATACGTAGCGGAAGCAGATAGCGAAATTTAAACAAACCTCCAGCCATTGCTAAAAATTAAATTTGTTCTTGAGAT